AGCTTTTGGGGGGGGGGGATATACAAAAATATCTTTGACTTAACCTAACATAGATGAAAACCAAAAGGAATTGCAAATTATAGTGCCAAGGACAGATTGAGATTCCAGCTGATGTTTCACTAATGAAGAAGTTGGTTACCCTTCATCTGTCTGCAAGTCCCTACTATATTCTTAGCGTGAATCATCTTCATGGACCCCTTCCCCAATCTTTGGTTAATTGCAACAATCTCAAGGTTTTGGATCTTGGTGACAATGTGATAGCCGATACTTTTCCATGTTGCTTAAGTAACTTCTCCAACTTACTGTTTTTGTCATACGATCCAATAACTTCCATGGGAACATGAGCTATCTTGGATCCAATAGTAACTGGAACAAATCTGAAAATAATTGACATTGCTTCCAACATGTTTTCAGGCATTCTACATCCAAATTTGTTTGCAAGTTTGCAGGCAATCATGTTTGCTAATCAATCAAGATTCGGTGACTGTTGTTTTATCGAATCATCAAGCTGCTTTAATTCATGTAATTGGATTCATAAGAGAATGACGGGTTAATAGTTAAATTATTACACGAGTTAGGAGATGTGGAGTGCACACTTGTATAAGCTAGTAAGAACCTGATGAAGTCGCCAGATGTTGCCATATGGCAACGAGGGCACGCCCCCTTGCAGGGTCCAAGGTGAGGCGCCCATGCGGTTGTCCTACTAAAATGCTCATAAATCTTCGTACTTTTTTAAATTTTGAAGCCTGAGCATGGTTCAAAAAGTGATACGCTTTATGGAAAAACCAAGTTCGAGTATTGCTTAGAAAATCAGAAAGCTATATGCTTTCTGAAATGACCAAGTCTAAATACTTTAGAATGCATGTTCAGAAGTCTTGGCATAGTTCAAAAAGGTATATGCTTCGTGAGATTTTCATGTCTTGAAAATTTAGAAGGCAAGCCGGATTCTTAAATGTGTTCATAAGGTATGTTTGCCGTTGAATAAACCCTTGCTCTGCTCTTATCGGGAAAAAATTCATCAAAAAGTGGCTTTTAACCCATTCCATTCCTCAACTTGTGCCGCCTCTTGCTCCTGCTCTTAAGTTGTGATAACTGGGTTTTCGGTTATATAAATTTGGGGCGGTTTTTGAAAGATTTTGGTAAGTAAATAATTTTAAAATGTTTATGTATTTATGTATTACCTGCTTATCATATTCCACCGTCTTAAAAGTTTTGTGCATGAGATATTTATATTATATCTCATGGGAGAATGTGAAAAAATGAGTTTTAAAGTACTAAAACTTCAATGCCTGTGTTTTGGATAACATATAAAAGTGATAAGATTTATCTTATCTATTCTGTTTTGAAAAGAAATGAAAAAAAAGATGAAACCTTGGTGTGCATGTACTTAAAATGATCTTTGTCATGGTGTACTTAGGGTAGCAAAAACTCATCTAAAGGTGTTGTAATAAGTTTATATGATACTTTTAGACGTCTTAACAAGTTTTTAGGACATTTTTAATAGAAAGTCACATCAGCAACTTTATAGGACACTTTTGAGAAAGTGTCCTATAAACTCAATTTTTTATAGGACAATTTTTCAATTATTGTCCTATATTAAACATGTCCTAAAAAACTTATTACGACATCAAAAAAACGTCATATAAACTTATTACAACACTTTTAGATAAAATATTTTATTTTTTTGGTCCTATAAACTAAGTCTTATAAAGAAGTCTATTAAGATGCTTAATAAATTAAAAATATTCTATAAACCTGATTTTATTGTAGTGTTGTAATATTGAATCCATTCGTTTATTATCCTTACTCTTATCCCCCACAATGGCATGAGATTTTTATAAGTATTTTAAATTGTTTATGTGTCGACAAGTTAGTGTTTGTATGTATGTGGAGGAGCACTTGATATGATACCCTACCATTTTTAGGTGGTACATGACTCTTTGATCACTATATATTGAAAATACTTGCGATCCCCACTAATAATCATATACAGAAAAAACCAAATAAATTTTATTTCTTCAGTGCTTAGATAAATAATTTATTGACTTATTTCGATGTAGCACATGTAATAAGCATTTTTAAGTGTTTGGATAAACAACTTATACCGGTGCGAAACCGGTAATAAGAAGTTTTTGAAGAAGTTAAACTCTTCTAAGTTATAATAAGTTGATAAATGTTTTTATAAAAAAACATAAGTTGTTTCAAATAAACAATCCTAAACACCCCTAAATAAAAAGAGTGCACATGTCTGGAGGAGTATGAGTCAAAAATTGCCATCCATCTTTTCAAACAATATAATTCATTTTTTCATAATAAACAACGATTCCCACGTTCAGTATAATATATATATATATATATATATATATGTGTGTGTATATATGTATATATATATATATGTATATATATATATATATATGTGTGTGTATATATGTATATATATATGTATATATATGCATGTGTGTGGGTGTGTATCTTATCCATTAAAACGCGTACATTTATCATGATTTGTCTGTATTTAAGCTAGACATAAACCTCTAGTGTCAAAGCATCCTTGCCTTGTGACCATTTTTGAGCCAAATGGAATTTAAAGTTTCTTCCTGGCTTCTGTTGGTTTCCTTTTGCTCATTCTTTTTCGGGTTACATCCAATATCTGGCCAATGTCTTAATGACCAGAAATCGTTGCTACTGGCGTTGAAAAATGATCTCAAATTTGATTCTTCACTCTCGACCAAACTCGTGGGGTGGAACCAAAGTGCTGACTGCTGTCATTGGGGTGGTGTGGCATGCGACAAAGCAGGTCATGTCACAGGAATTGATATTAGTAACGAAAGCGTAAGTGGTGGGATCGATGGTTCCTCCGCTCTTTTCGGTCTTCGCTTTCTTCGGTCCCTCAACCTGGCGTATAACAGCTTCCATTCCGCTCAGTTGCCGTCGGGGTTTGGAAAGCTTACTCTCATGAGCTATCTGAATTTGTCTAATGCAAATTTCCAAGGCCAGATTCCTGGAGATTTTCCCTTAATGAAGAGGTTGGTTACTCTTGATATCTCTTCAAGTCCCTACTATACTCTTGCTCTTGAAAATCCAGATCTCAAAATGCTGATTCAGAGCCTTACGGGACTAAGAGAACTCTATCTCGACAATATCAACATTACGACACATGGGTATCACTGGGCTGAGCTCATATCTTCTTCCCTGCCCAACTTGCAGGTCTTAAGCTTGAAGGGTTGTGGTCTTTCAGGTCCTCTGGACTCTTCACTTGCTAACCTTAAATACCTTTCTGTTATTATTCTAGATGAAAATACCTTCTCATCGGATGTCCCTGAGTCATTTGCAAACCTCCAAAACCTGACAGTTTTGAGCCTTCAAGCATGCAATCTTAGTGGATCACTTCCTAAGAAAATCTTCCAGGTACCTAGTCTAAAGACGATCGATCTTTCAAGTAATGTAGTACTTAATGGTCCTCTACCTGAGTTCCCTGAGAATGGATCTCTTCAGAATCTGGTGCTTAGTTACACAGTTGTTGGGGGGACCCTTCCAGATTCTATTGGTAGCCTTAGAATGTTGTCCAGGATAGAACTTAGAGGCTGCAAATTCAGTGGACCACTTCCAAAGTCGATGCAAAACCTTACTCGTCTTGTCTATTTGGATCTTTCAGTTAATCAGTTCAACGGTCCAATCCCATCGTTTCAGTTGTCTAAGAATCTAGTCTCGGTAAATTTCTATCAGAACAATCTAACTGGTGGAATTCCTTCTCACTGGGAAGGTCTCAATCGTCTTCAGTTTCTTAATTTGGGTTACAACTCTTTGAGTGGGAATTTACCTGAGTCTTTGTTAACCTTGACATCACTTGAGGATTTAGAACTTCCCAACAACAGGTTATCTGGTCAAATTAGTAAACTTACTGACGTTTCCTCTTTTCGACTACGTGATCTGGATCTGAGTGGCAACAAATTTGAAGGCCCAATTCCTGGATTCATCTTCAAACTTCCAAGACTTTCGACTCTCGCGCTTGCTACGAATAACTTCGCGGGCAGTGTAGACCTGGACATGTTTGGAAAGTTGGAGGAGCTTTACGCACTTGATCTTTCTTTTAATGATCTCGTGGTCAGTGTAAATGCAAACAGATCAACCTTTTCATCACTCTCTAAACTCAACTCATTGATGTTAGCTTCATGCAAGATGCAACAGCTTCCTGATCTGCAGAATCAGTCAAGACTGATGATGCTAGATCTTTCAGACAACCAACTAAGTGGTGAAATACCCAACTCGATCTGGAAAGTTGGCAATGGATATCTGCGGTTTCTAAATTTGTCACACAATAAGTTTTCAAGTCTCCAAAAGCCTTACACTTTTCCTTTTCTACTTGATGTTCTTGACTTGCATTCTAATCACCTGACAGGAGATATCCCGATTCCTCCAAGACGAGTTTATCATCTGGATTACTCGAGCAACAACTTCGGATCTTCTATCCCAGCTAATTTCGGAAACGTTCTCACCTCGACTTTATACTTTTCCATTTCCAACAGTAAAGTGGTTGGAGTGATCCCTGAGTCAATAAGCAATGCCAGCTCCCTGCATGTTCTTGACTTATCACAGAATGCACTTAGAGGTCCAATTCCATCGTCAATTGGAAACTTCAAAGTCCTAGAATCCTTGGACCTTTCAGTCAACATGTTAAATGGGAGCATTCCAGAGCAGCTTGCAAATCTTACTTCACTTTCATTCCTAAATCTATCTTATAATCATCTTTCTGGAAAAATCCCACAAGGCTCAGTGTTTCAGGCATTGACAGAGTTGTCGTTTGAGGGAAACCGAGGGCTGTGTGGCCCCCCTTTGAAGAAGAGTTGTGATAATAAGCAAATGTCACCACAAGTTGAATACTAGTGATCCAGCCACAAGGTCAGTGCTGAATTGGATCATGGAGAACATCATACAGCAGTAATTCACATTGATCCTACAATATTAGCAACTCAACTGATGAATAAAAAGTGAACAACATTAAGAACATGTGATCTTTATTTGTAATTATGAGGTCCGGAAAAAAAATATTTTCACTCGTGGTAAACTTTTTCCCTTTCGAATGGATCTCAAAGAAAATCATTCAACTCAACTTTACGAGCTTCGCATACAAGAGCCAAGTGGGGAATATGGATTACAAGAACCATCACCACGATTACTGGTTTTGGATGTACATTAAACCCATATCTAATTAGTATTAAATTAAGATCAAACATTTTAGTATAGCTTAATTAATTAAGCCAACCACTTAAGTTGAAATGAAACACCCCCTTAGTAGTTGTTGGTTTCAACCATAAGTTAACCGAATATGATGAATTGAACTACAAAAACTACTTTTTGGTAATATTAAATAATATTTCATGCATAGCATCTTAAGAGTTCATGTCTTCACAGTCAAAACCCTTCATACTTCTCCAAACCCACTTGTTGCAAATAAAAGGAGTGACCAAGATAGTTGGAGTGGGAGTATATACAGTGTTCGTCAGAGACGGGAAACAGGGAGGTGTTCTTGATGAGGTCGGGCAGGGAGAGGGTCGTTCATCGTTGTCTCGTTGGAAAAGAGACGCTTCTCAGTTATTAACAACCTTTTTAACGGAGTTTGTCGCAACAAAATGCATACCACAAGATGAAAAATGTTAACTTTTAACAAACCACAAGGACCAAGAATCAAATTTTTGTGGCAGTCCTGCAAAAAAAGAAACCTCAACTCAAATGCTGCCATGTGTCTAAGGTGAGCAGCATTTCCCATTCTTCTCCACTTAACTTTAATATTAAAAATTATAAACCTATTTTATTTATATTTATTTAAAAAATATATTTCTAAAACGAGATAATATATATCAAAATAAATCATTACAAAGTTATATTTCTCTTTGCATTAAAAACATAGTACGTACTCTTAAATGTACCAAATACATAGCGAGTAATATAGCGTTTGTAAGTAGGTTTTTCAAAACACGAACCAAGACAAAATACGTAAAGTTAGAGTCGTTCACTAAACACTTAACTTGGTAAACACTTACAGGCTCAATTAACTGGCCAGGTAAACATAACAATCTACTGAGAACCTTACACAATAAAAGTGAATGCAATGATCGAGAGTTTTACCATGTAATTAAGTGAGGGTGATGATCACTCTTACCTGATAAGCGTTTACCGGGTTATAAACGCTTACCTTAAATCCATTTTGATGACCAAAAATGTTGTTTCATTAAGTGAAAATGATGTCGGTAAACGTTTGGTAAACGACCATTTAGATACAATTTACCCAAAAGTGAATGTAGAATAATCCAAAACCTCATAAGGCATGCATATGAGTGTAACGGGTTATTTGGAAGTTGTTGGCTTAGGGGTTGTTCAATTGCGGTTTAATGGACTGTATAAGCCATATGGCTTCTTCGCGCAGCCATGTCTAGTTGTTCTGTATGGGCTTATTCGGTCAGCCCATGATTGAACCACTCAGCTACAAAACTTATGTCATTTGTATTCAGCTGTTAGCTTTTCTCAACTACCCCTCTCCATAGCCACTCCTCCCTCAACACAATCGCCTCCATCCTTAAACAGGAAGGAAAAAAAACATAGATCCAAAAGGTGAAACCTTTCAAACAAATCGATATCCTCCAAACTCTTAAAGTCATCATCCATGGAAACCATCATCGCCTTCTGCCTCGCCACTCACTGTCTGTCTACTCCTCGATTGTTCCTCATTGTGCTTCGATTCTTCAAATGGGTAAATCGACATTGTGCCTGAAATAGGTAAATCGAACAGGAATCGACACTGTGCCTGAAATGGGTAAATCAATTTCTAACTATGCCTTAAATGCTCCATCCTGCCTTCGATTGCTCATGCTTCATCCTGTCTTTTTGTTCGCTTTCTAACTATGCCTGAAATGGGTAAATCGCCCTCTCTGTTCGATTTCTAATTGTGCTTTGATTCCTGCCTTTCTGTTCGATTGGCATGTGTTTCTAGTTTCTCATTGTGCTACCATGTTTTGAACAAAAAAAGAACCAAACCAAAAGGCTGTTCCATTTGAAACAGGAACAAAATAAGAACCAAACTCTGTTTTTGAACCAAACTTTGTTAATCAAGTTATTTTAATTTAAAAAACTTTTACATTGATATTCTTTTTATAATTATAAGTCATTTGTTCAACATTTTTATCAAACTATTGTTTTATTCAGACAAAAATAAAGATAAGGGGTAAAATGGTCATATTCGACATTCAGACTATTTGTTCAGCACAACAACCGAACAACAACTTATCTGTTAATATAGAGACAATTATATCAATACAGACAACTATATCCATATAGGTCTTAACATAAAACAAACCGAACAACCCCTTAATGGACTTAATGACATGTTTAGGAAGTGGCTTCATCACTTAGATAGCATGATGGTTTATTTTCTCCACAAGATATAACTTAATTCAGACGATACTCACATTTCATCTCTATCCTTGGTGCTCTTGGTACGACGTTCTTTCTAAAACGAACGATACACAATACAAAACATTGCAACGTCAACTCCCCCTCTTCCTTATCTCCCACTACCATCTCCATTCTGGTCCAAAGTAATTGATTGCCTTTTTTCAGAAACTCTCTACTTGCTTCATTCACCTTTTTTGTTGCTCCTAAGCTCTCTCAATTGTAATTAGCAATCTCGTTGTTGGGCAAGGGAGGGTGCGTTGGGCACATGCCTAGGCCCCATAGAAATCAGTGTTCAAATTGTTTTAGTATATATTAACAAAAAACATTTAAAAATGAAAAAAACCAAAAACATAAATTAATATCTATCACGATAAAGAGCAAAAATCAAATGAGAGAAAAGCCTTATATTAGCACAAGGCGCGTGGCATCAAAAACCCAAGTGTGAAAGGGAATATGGAGTCTCTAATCTCACGTGTCACACGCTCACCCTTTGTTCACGGTTTTGATTTATAGCTTTCAAGTCGTCGTTCCATTTCCCTATTTTATTCTACAAACTACAACACTGAATCACAAAAACGTAATTAAGAATCCGATGTGACAATGCCTCCTTCTATCTACACAGTCTAGGCAGATCCAATAATTGGGGTTAGAGCTACTTTTTCGTTTTTTATATAATTTCTAATTTCTCCTAGTTCATTAAAATTCAAACAGTGGAGTCATTGTATTTGTTCAAACGATCAAACTGGGTTCTGAACTCTCACTTCTGGTTTATAATTTGATTTCATCACTACACATTTCTATGTTTTCAACTTAAGACTACAAGTACGTTTCTAATTTTCCGATTTGATTTCATCAAAGGGGTTCTGTTTTTCTTTTTTGTAACTGGCTGGTTTCTTGAAATTGTTTTCCATAAGCGCATTCCTAAAAACTAGTAGATAAGGTATACTTTTAGTGGCCAGTCAGAGCATAACTTTAGAGCTCTTTTTCAAGTATAATGGCCTTTTTTGCGTTGTTAATACAAGAACAGATAAATTTTCAAGTTTTTGGACCATTTCTGATATTTTTTTTCTTACAACTCAATTTATGTGAATCATCTATTATTTCTCTCTGACTCTATGAAGATTTTTATTTCCGAACTTTGATTTTCTTTCTTTTAAATCAAATAAATGCGTATAGGTAGTATTTATTGGGATCTCAACATATGCTTAACTTTGGTCTTTATCACTTGTCGAATTGCGTACATACACCAAAGCCCTGTAATTGACACATACGATTGCCTAATTTTTATGAAGAGTAAGCATCGGAAGCTGGGACGTTGGGCACTAGTTTTGGTTTTGATGTAACTTAAATATTGTTTGACAAACATAAGCTTAACTTATAATCTAACTCATTTTTTGGGTTCATGTTTGGATGGATGTAAGCTGGCTTATAAGCTAACTTATTGAAAAGCTAGTTGGGATTAGTTTATTAGGACGTTTTTTTTTTTTCTTTTTTCAATTATGCCCCAGATTAATATTAATTGTTATTAATTGATCTTATTTTTTATTTATAAATTAATTCTAATTGTTAATTAATATTAATTTTAATTGTAAATTGTTTACTAATATTAATTATTGATTATTTGGAACTATTATTAATTTTGTCAGTTATTTTATACTAGAAGAGTACTCGTGCAATGCAGCGAGACACTTATCGATTTTAATGTTTTCTATTTTATTATTTGTATTTGTCAATGTTATAATACGATTTTATGTGTTTTTAAAAAAGCAATAATGATTTTATTTTTGAATAGAATATAAGTTTGAAGATATCATAAAAATTTGAAAAACAATATATCAATGTTAATATCAAAATCAACTATTTAAAAGTTCTCATTTTTTTATGTAATTTCTTTAATTTATTTATTTTTATTTATAATTTAATTTAAGTTTAATAACG